TGTCGCAACTACATCTGATGAGGGTAATACGGTGCATAGATCTTACCACAACGTACTCATTCTCTCAGGAAATCTTACACCGATTAAGCGACCTCTAATGAAGCAGAGTGGTGGGTCAGATCCTATACCATGCCCGCAGTAACTGCGCTACTTGTCGCTGCTCCACCCTCATACAAAAGAAGAGGAACAACACTTTAATGCCCATTCGGGTGTTGAAAGACTTATGTACATACGGCGATGAAACTCTAAGCGCGGACGCGAGAGGTCACAAGTCGTAACCGAGAGGGCAGGGGACAACCAAGACGCAGACACCTGAACTGCAAGTAAAAGGTCTCTGGCGCCCTTGTTGTGCGACTTCTTAGCCGGGCCAACGTCAGGTGATCTTATTTTGGAAAGGTTTCGGCTCAGTCACCTTGACATTGCACTCAAATCCATGGCAGCGTATGCTTTTGAAGGCAAGCGCCGGAATGAAATCGGTCTTTTAGAGCGTTCAATAATGGTGGGTGGGGGATGCGGTGGGAGAGGGTAAGAAGAAAGGTGCGCACTGGACAGAAAGAGCAAAAGAAAGCCAAAGTAACAATCGAAAACACTTAATTTAGGGCCTAAACTTTTTCTAAGGTTGGACAAACTATGGCGGAGCGACGCAGCGCGCAGCGAAGCGAGAATGCGCGAAATATAACTTGCCGTATGAAAGGACACAAACCCGTGGCCACTGCATAGCGGGCGATTCGACTACCACACAGAGCCACTAATTGGGAGTATTGGCAAGACCTTCAGAACTCTTGTCGTACTTTCGATCCGCGTGAATGGAGAATCCGTAACCTTCCACCTAAACGGCTCCATCTTGCACACCAAAGAATTTACTATAGCGTTCTAATCCCAGGGCATGTGCATGTAATGCATAAAGTCATTATCAAACTTCAGAGTACCAATAAACATGAGTTTTGAAGTACCGAATGCAGAAAGAAAACTTTGTTTCTTAAAGTGTTCCGATGCTTGCGATGATTTTATGCAAGCCACGGGCCTTAATAATGGATAACATTGTAATGACTTCAATGATTATAATAATGGGCCTAAAGGGCAAAACTGTGGAAAAATAAACGAATAGGATCCAGGTTTCTAAAAAAATGCAAACAGATGACCGTGAAGTTTCCGACTTATCTATATTTCAGTGACATCGATACGGTCATAAAACGAGCGAATAAGACCGAATTTGGACTGGCAGCTGGAGTGTTCTCAAGGGTACAATCACTGGTTTTTCTTGTGTATTTCAGAGTTTTTAAGGTTGATGTCAATTTTAGGATGTGTCGAAAGTGATGCGTATTGCGGACAGATTACAAGCCGGTACCGTGTTCATCAACACCTATCAGAAAACCGACGTCGCTGCTCCATTTGGTGGATTCAAACAGTCCGGCTTTGGAAAAGACCTCGGTAATGCCTTGCTGGTAGCTAGTTAACGTAATATCACGCAACTTAAGACACATGCTACAATAAAGTGGGTATGGACCTTTCAAAGACCCACTCAAAACGGTTTTGAGCTCTATGACAGTTCCTGAAAAAGGAGGGAGAAACAGCTAGAAGGAGAATGTCGGGAAAAGTTCACATGGAACCAGTAAATATCGATTACTAAAGGCAACCTTGGGTTTTTTTGGCATTTCTAAATCGTTGGTAATTTCTGCGCAATTATGATTGTCAACTATTGATAGTGGAAGTTAAGACTGGGAGGTTGAGTTTCAGTTCTCCTCGTCAGGTCACCTAATATTGAGAAACCGTCCATTTGGTCGAATAAATCTAGGGCAAAGCCTAGCCTCAACCATTACTTTGAACGTCAGTTCAAGGTTTATTCGTCTTTCCCCTGTGTCTTTATTTCGCCAATCCCAACTCACTGATGAGCTCCGGGGATTGACGAAATAATAAGGTTCGTCTGAGGAAGGAGCGAAACGAACCGTTTCAATTATTTCGTTTATAATGGTTTTTCTTTCTTAATTAAGACAGCCAATGTGGGAGCATAAGCCTGAGTCTAAGCCTAAACTTAAGAAGAACCTTAGGCCTCATTGATCGCGCAGTTCTGATTACCTGATCTAACCTAAGAGAACTGGACGGCTCCCAACTGAGACGTGTAAAGGGGCGTAATTTGTAGTGATTAGACCAACTCCTAGACTTCCTGCCACTATCGCTTTTGAATTTCGTATTTCTTTATATTTTGATTTCTTTCCTTGTGTACGGATGTGATTTCGAAAGGGGCGTGGAAGGACCGAACCTTCCTCCCCCTTTCTGGGCAAGTTTCTGGTTGCTCGTAATTTCTGGCAGGAATGTTTCCCTGTACATCGCCCGGGGCGGGAGCGCATAACTAATAGAAAGTGCCTCTTCCTCTCACTCGTCGCCTAAATCCCTCTATGGGCAAGTGTTGTGCCTTATTTCAAAGGCTAGTCGCATAAAGAAAAAATCGATAAATCGATCGTTGATTTCTTTGAGGAATTTGGATTTTAATCCACAACTTGAATTTGTAACAATTGAATTTTGCTAATTTTAGGTGCCGAGGCGTTGAACGAGTATCTACAGACGAAAACGATCACATTGGAATATTAAATTTTGACGTCACTAATTTTGTTCTACCGTAGACCTTTAGGCTACCTGTATTACTTGTTATTCTAAAGAGTATATGTTTGGGATATTATCTAACTGTGATACAAAGTTTAGATGTTCAAAAAAGAT